CTGAGGTTTTCAGTTAAAAGGTAAGTTAGGCAATTTAGATGAGTTCCCTGTAAGTAGAGACTATTCTCTCATTTTCCAGCCACCAAGACCTGAATAGTCACACAGAAACTATATTAATTACAACACTGTTTGGCCAATGGCTCAGGCGTATTCTTAGATAACTCTTATATCTTAAATCAACCCACTTCTATTAATCTGTGTATCACCAAGGCTGTGGCTTACTGGTAAGTTTCTTTCTCCTTCAGCAGCTATATGGTGTCTCCTTGACTCCGCCTACTCTATTTATCTATCTGTCATCTATCTATCTATCTATCTATCTATCTATCTATCTATCTATCTATCTATCTATCTCTGTTCAGATTTCCCACCTGGCTTTATTCTGCTAAGCCATTGGCTGAAACAGCTTTATTCATCAACCAATAAAAGCAACACATATACAGGAGGGATATATACAGATTCCCACATCAGTTCCTTGCTGCAGTTGAGTGACAGCTGCAGCTGTGCTACGTGGAACGTGCAGACTTCTCAGACCCATAATAGGGACTAAGGAATGAGAGACTTTGCATGGCCTGGTACTGTTATACCTTTCATTGACTAGAAAAGCCAGATGGCTCCTTCCAAGGAGGCTACACCATACAGTCTTCCTTCATCCACACAAGATGATTGGACACTGGGGATGTCTTTCTTATAGCACACTGAAGAAGAAACACTTGAATTTTGATTAGAGACTATCAGGAGCAATAGCAAGGGACTTTTATAGCAGAGAGCTCCATAATTTGTAATACTTCATTAGAAAATGCTAGAAGTTACACAAATGTAAGTAGTCCCATTTACTGATTAAGGATTTGAGTTGGGTAGTGGTGGTGCACACCTTTAATCCCATCACTTGGGAGGCAGAGGCAGGTGGATCTGTGATCTTGAGGAAAGCCTGGTCTATAGAGTGAGTTCCAGGACAGCCAGGGCTACATAGAGAAACCCTGTCTTGAAAACAAAACAAAACAAAACACAAAACAAAGAAAAGAATTGGAGGCTGCCGGGCAGTAGTGGTGCACCCCTTTAATCTCAGCTCTTGGGAGCAGAGGCAGGCGGATCTCTGTGAGTTCGAGGCCATCCTGGTCTACAAGAGCTAGTTCCAGGACAGGCTCCAAAGCTACAGAAAAACCCTGTCTTGAAAACAAACAAACAAACAAAAAGAATTGGAGCCTTAACCCGGTCTTGGAGCTGTTGAGAGGATTGGACAGGTAGTTCAGTCTATGAAGTGCTTGCTATAAAAGTCAGGAATAGAGTTCAATCTTCCAGAACCCATATGAAAAAGCCTGGGGTAGTGGTACTCATTTGTAACACCAGTGCTGGGGAGGCATAGAAGGGTTAATCCTGAAGTTCCTGGCCAGCCTGTGAACCCCAGGTCCCAGAGAGAGACCTTATTACAAAACAAAACAAAACAAAACAAAAACAAAAACAAAAAAACAAACAAGATAAACAAGTTTTGAGGAACGACACCAGAAGTTTTGGCTTCTGATCTCCTCACCTACACAACATACACACACACACACACACACACACACACACACACACACGAAAAGAATTAGAGGATAGACTGAACATGCATTTTGTAACTTGAGAGTTCCTGCTCAGATGTATTCAAGTAATAGAGCCCCTAAACATTCATTTAGGACATCTTTTACAAGACGACTTAAATGTAGGAGAATATGAAACCATGATACGTCCCTATCAAAAACTGCTAAGATAAGAGGGAGTCATTTGTAAGATTCCTGTGAACTCACTAAGGACTTTAGAGGATCCTTTAATTAGTATAAGAACACAGAGCTGTTGTAATCTGTCAGGAACAGCTCCAAGCCAGAGTTGAGATGGCATCTGATAAGTGCTTTACAACACTTCCGTGGAAGAGCCTAGTCTTACCCTTGATTTGAATACGGGAAATGGTTTAGAGAATTTAAATTACTGACCTAATGATGATGGGAAGATGGTTTCTGGATAATTTACACACACACACACACACACACACACACACACACACACACACACACACATTGTCATTACATTTTCTCATTGCATTCACTATCCCAGTGCCTTTGGCTTTTCTGGTTTGTTTTTGAAACAGGAACTTGCTGGGTAAGACCAGCTGTGCTCCAGACTTTTGAGGTCTGCTTGCTTCAGCCTCCTGAGCACTGGGATTACTCTACAGGTGTGGGCAAACACTCATAGGTCTCCCTTTGCTTTTATCCCCAGGGGTGTCTTAATCTGCTTTGTTACTAGCTCCCCAATGGGGCTTTTTAATTCAGTTTTAGCCAGGGGCAGGTGTCTTAGCTCCTAAGTCTGTAAATGTCTTGCTTCCTGGGGTTGAGAATGTTAGGCTGGAACTAATTAGGAGAGAAAGAGAGTGAAAAGCAGGAGGTAAAGCTTCTCAGTTCATCTTTCAAAACGGTTCTCTTGTTACTGTAACAGAGGTCCTTCTGCATCCACAGGCGAAAACAAATTGCGCAAACTAAGTGAGAGTTGAAGGTAGTGGTCTAAGTACCTCAAGGCTTTAGTCATCCTCCTAAACATCTGTGCATATTTTCCCAGCAGGAACCAAGCCAGATGGAACCTAGGTAGTTGAGAGCTCTTCAGGAAAGGAATTCAGAGAAGAGAAAAGGTAGGACTGAGGGAAATCAAGAGGGGATGGTTGAAGGTCCTTTTGCTGGCAACACAGCAGAGCATTACCACTGAGTTGTTCTCCAGGCCTCAAAGGCAACAGGAACAAGAGATGGAGCCCTGAAATCCCACATGGGAACCTGACATTGGCTGGGAAACGCAGCCATCAACCAAGGCTAGTAGAAGGAAGCAATCCCTCTCTCCTTCCTCCTCATCCTTCCTTTGCTGATGGCCCTTATCAGTCAAACCCAACCAGAGACCTCTAACAGCAAGGAGCCCAAGACTGCAACCTACAGAGGGCTGCCTCTCAGGCCTCCCAGAGCAAGGCAGAAGAAGGTGGAGAACAGGTCTGAGTCAAATAAATGAGGATCAGCACATCACACACTGTAACAAAAGATTATTCTGTTTCAAAAACAGTGGAACGGCTCTCATTATGTTAAACACAACGTGTACGCTGAGTCTAACAATCACAAGTGCTGTTTGTAACCAGATCTTACCTGTACAGCATGATTGAAGTCATCCCATAAAATTTCTAAATCCATCTTTTAAGAACTATGTTTTTATACATCCCTTAAAGAACCACATGAAAAACACCAGTATATTCATGAAAGGCTATAATTAATTTTGGACAACTTATGGGCTTTGAAATGCCGTGTTGAAAGCCCAAAATTTCTGTCATTTTTTTTTTCCTGGGAGGAAAGTTACCTAACAGGCAAGACCAAAGATAAATTAATAGATATCTGTGTGGTATGATTCACCAACATCTAGAAAGTGCCTCAGCACTGCACCCTAAGATGGTATACCAAATAATCAGAAGTTCATTTCCATGCCTTAATGGGTTAATGTTTATTGTTTTATTTTTTTTAAACTGAACGTGCTTGAGAATTAGAACACCAATTCATTCATTTACTTAATTTCTCCACCATGAAACATTTATTGCTATTATCTGTTAAAAGTGTACTAGACACCAGAGTAAAAACACAAACATGAATCCTTGTCTGCAAGGTGTTCAGAGTTGAATGGAAATTGGACAAAGTATCCTAGAATTCTAGAACTAGATTATGGAAGAAGAACGAACAAGACCCTATGTGGGAACATCTAACAGTATCGGAAGACAAGAAAAGAGAAGGAGGCGGCGAAGGGCAAGAAAGACCATTGATGGTTGCCTACCGGAAGATAAACAGAAGTGCACTAGCTGGACACAGTAGTGGTGACTAGAGAAAGCAGACTTTTCAGGTCAACTAGGTCCTTCATCCTTTGACTCTAGCGCATATGATGCCACGAAAGGACCCTGGGCGCCAGTGACAAAGGGACTTGAACTCTATCCTAGGAGGTCAATGGAGGATTCGGTAAAGGAGAGGTTAAGATTTACTCTATGGAAAAATCACCCCTGAGGAGTTCGTAGAATTAAACGAAGGAGGCAAGACAAGAAAATGAATCTGCTAAAAGAGCTTGGTCATTTGTCTAACAAGAGATGGGAAAGCGCCAACTAATGAGGGGCAGTGAGCGTAGACAGGGCAGAGGTATTCAGAAAAATACCAAGAAGGTGAACATGGCTTTATTATCATGGTAAAAACTAGAAGAGGGTCTAGGAGAGTCAGAAAGTTGTCCATGTTTTGCCTTCAGGCCTGGGCAGAGCTTTTAGCCCCAGCTGACGTGAAGACGGTGGAAGAGCGTGTTTGCATAGGGAAGTGACTGGGTTTTGGTTGAACACCTTGAGAAGGAGTCTGTCCGTGAGAGTAGACTGAGTGACTGGCCAGACCATGGGTGCTGATGAAGCAATGGGCTGATAGGCATCCTCTTCAGAAACCGTGTGGAGCAGGCAGAGAGGAGATGTGTAAAGGCCAATCTTTCCATCTGTGTTTATTAGGCAATGGCATAAAAACGTGTGAAGGCAGACGCACACTGAGATCTTAAGGAAGCAAGGCCTGCAATATAAAGTGTACAGAGACAGGGCATAGGAGCTGGGCTGCACTTGGCTGTAAGTACCAGAATAAAGTGGCACAGGGAACAGAATAAATGTCTTATCAAGAAATCTGAAAAGTTGGCACAGAAATTAAGGGTTAAACGTTAAGGAGAGTTGGGACATCAAGGTCCTCTCCTGTGCTTTATTCCTTTTCCTGGGGGAAAACTTTCCACAGGGGACCCTGTCAGATGTTTCCTGAGGTGTCCCTGACAAGGCTCTTTCCCACTCTCGTATCAGTGGCTAGGGCTGAACGTGACCATGGTCGTGGTGTCTGGCTTGGATTAATCATGACTCATCCCTGAGGACTGGACAAATAGAATAGGAGTCCTGTCATCAAGGAGGGTGTGAAAATAACTACTTCTATGCCTCCTTTCTATAGGAGTCTAGTAAGAGCAAGAGTGAAGAATGCCCTTTGAATTTTGGATGAAGGAGCGTGTTGGGAGACGCCGTGAGAGGTTCCAGGAGGCATCTGTTAGGGAGAGACCAGTGCGCAGTGGGTTGAAGTCAGAAGGAGACTGCAGACTACTTTCCAGCTAAATGTGAGTATGTGGTACCAATCTCTTGTTGGAAAGAGTTTCCAGTGAATGAAGAGGAGGTGTAGGTAAACTGAGGGAGCAAGAACCGAGCTACTGAGCTAGAATTTCAGAGCAGGAAGACAAACTTGACCCAGGCTGTCATTTGGAAAAGCCCTCTTTAAGGCAACGCTTTTGGAGGATGACTTTCCCCACTTTGAATTTTCAGTGTTGGCCTTGGCTACAAGCTGGGCTTTTTAGTAGTCTGAGTCAGCAACAAGAGAGAAGTGCAGATGAAGCCTTCTTCCGACTCCAACTGTGTGCAGCCGGGGGAGAGCTGTGATTAAAAGGTTTCTACAACGCACTTCAATTACATTCGCTGGAAGGGATTCAATTTTGAACGCCTTCCAGGATTTTTAAATGAGAGATTATATATTTCATAGAAAAAAAAATAAGGGTAAGGTGGAGGGCGGGTGAAACGTCTAATTGAATAAAAGCATAGATTTTCCGCCAAACCCTTGCACTGTAGGTTTTCCCTGGTTCTTAGGAACAGCCTGTGTGCGCCCCTGAACACACCTCTCCTCTGCCTGTTGCTGGATGGAGTGGAAGACTCGCTTGAGAACAGATGTACTCAGCTAATCTCTTGGCTCATGCATTGTCTTGTACGCTGTCCTGGTCACCAGAGTCGCAGCTCGGGAGTTTAAGGAAGACAACAACAAGCAGTAGAATAAACGTTGTGACTAGAAAATGGCAAGCCCCGATCAGAGTCATCTGAAGGCAACCTTGACCTCGGTCCGGGTTGCCAAGCACTATCTATAAGCATGCATTTTCGAGAAAGAATCTTAAGTACAGAGAAGTTAAATACAGGGTAATTCCGTCTGACTCTATCTGGCTGGCGCCTTTTTGAGCTGCTTTACCCAATTTGGAGCAGAATTCCCTCTGGGCTTTACCAATTTAGAAGCAGAGTATCAGCGATGAAGGATTCCAGCAATCCTCTGATTCATATGGGAACAGAGAGATGGGCTAATCCCTGTCGGATACCTAGCCCCAGCCGGGCTGTGCTAGAGCCACGCTTTATGCTTTCACAATATCTTAGTAATTAAAAGAAAAATCCTACACAAAACTAATCCCCAAACCCTTTGTATCTAGATTGTTGTCAACACTCCCTTTACTTTCAAGAGCTTAAAATAGCTGAAACCCTGGGTTGACCTTGCTGCTTTTCTAGGCAGTGATAAGCTGCCAGCTCGGAAAAGCTTTCTGTGTCTGGAACTGCCAAAGGGAGATTAAACTGTGATTTGCTTATGTGGTAGTTTGAATGCAAAATGTCCCCCATAGGCTCATGTGTTACAACACCTGCCTGGTGGCGCTGTTTTGGAAAGCTGAGAAATCAGTCAGTACACGGTAGAGAATGGGGGTCGGGCAGTGAGTCACCAGGGGGAGGGTCTTGAGGTTTAGTAGCCACGCCCATCTTCCTGTCCTCCATCTCCTGATCACAGCAATGTGATCAGCTATCTCAGGCTCCCGAGGTGACTGCTTCATGGCCAGTGTATACCTTTTGATCTAGAACGTATATCCTTTTCCTAAACTGTGTCTTATAAAGGATTTAATAATAGCAAGGAGGAGCGTAACATAACTAAATTATCTAATTCCTCAAGTTTCATCTTTTACATTGAAAGTTAAAGAGCATTTTATCTGGTTCTTCTACTTTCTTGTAATAACAGGGCAAGTTAGGGATTGCGCTGATGAGGACTCCCAGGTTCAAGTAACTGGCACTGAACTGGCTAATGCAAAGAAGCAAATAAAATATAGTCAAAAGATCATTTTGATCATTCTTACACTCTCCAGAAGAGGTAAGATCAATGCTAGAGCCTACATAAAATAAAAAGTGACGAAAACATAAATAAAAAGTGATGAAAATCCTGTCATATTGTTAGTTTTATGAGTGCATAGTGCCACTGTTGTTGGGAGGCAGGCACACTGGTCGGCGTTCCTAGCACACCCAGCCCTGGGAACTGTAGTCACCACTCCCATCAGCATGGATCACATTCAAGGATTTGTTCCCTACCATCTTTGCACCTCTAGAGTCCAATGCATATCCTTGTGAAAATACATCTGTTCCACAGAAAATGGTCGGACAGCCAATGATCTAGTAGCAAAGGAAGGAGGAACAGAGAATGTGTATCTGGAACAGAAGCGTTCCACAGTAGAAGTTTTAACTAGGACACTCGAGTAGCTAGGATGGATGGGCAGCCAGAAAAGACAAAAGTTGGCTATAGAGACTTCATTTAATATTTTTTTTACCATCTTCTGTAGTTTATAGATGGTAGGTTAATAAGTTGCAAAATTCAAAAGAACAGATAAGTTATCTAGAAAAAAACAACATCAAATCCCTAAGTTGGCTTCTCCCCAGACTCCCAGCCATCTGTGGTGGAGCATTTACTGTCATCAGTATTATCTTTCCTTCCCTGCAGGAGGATTCTATTTTCTTACCTACTGTAGTCAGGTTTGGTTATGTAATTGGTAGGGGTCAATGATATGTAAGTGTAAGTGACTACCTTATTTCTGGGCAGTAAGAAGCAAGTTTTTGCTCAGCTTTGTTTTCTTTCCTTATACGTTGTTGAGTGTCAATGTTTCAAAGGACCTCAGACTATGTTCCAGGATGTGTTAAATAGTTCACATTTGCCCAGGATCCATGATTTCCATCATGCTTTTTGCTTTGAAGTCTTTTTCTTATGAACCCAATCAATAATTATTTTTTTTTCTTTTTCATTCTGTTCTCTGCCGTTCGTTTGAGTTCCACTAACAAAAAGAAGTAACTAGACCGGAATCCAGAAGGCAAAGGAGAACAACTCTGGGTTATATCCACTGCCTTTCACCTTTCCCTTCCAGGTTGCCATGGGCTGGTTGCATTCCTCTGTCAAAGCTCTCCAGTTTTTGCTGAGTGGCACCCACTCTTACTGGTCACTGATGTTGGTTATCCTCCCTGTTTGTAAATAGCCCATCTATTAATATCTCCTATTCCCCTCATGGGAGTACGTCATCTGCTTCCTCCCAGGACCCTAACACACAGAGCAAAAGATAAGAATTATAGCATCAGGCCCTTCACCCATTCAACTTTAATCATGAAGCATGAACACTGGGATTTGGTGTTTTTTTTTTTTTTTTTTGTATTACTACGGCAAAACCTGACTCTTTGGTCTGATCTGAAGTTATTCTAGTTTCTTATAATAGACTGATCTCCAGGCAGCTGTTGGTGTCTGTCCTAGTCATGTCTTCTGCTGTTGTGATGAACTCAGCTGAAGGGTTTATTATGGCTCACAGTTCTAGGTGGTAATCTGTCAAGGCGGGGGTATCACAGTGGCAGAGTTTGAGCAGCCGGTCACACTGCATCCACAGTCAGGAAGCAGCGAACGGCGGCTGCTCACGCTCGGCTCGCTGTTTTCTCTTTGTGCAATTCAGGATCTCAGCTTGGGGAATGGTGCCGCCCACAGAGGACGCATCTTCTGACCTCAACCGATCTAATCAAGATCTTTCACAAGAATGCCCAGGCTCATCATCCGGGCATTCTGGAACTCGTCAGATTGATAGCTGAGATTGACCAATACGGTGCCACAGTTTGGGACTGAACAAAAATATGCTCACCGGAGTTCTATTTCTGGAAAATCTAATTTGGTAAGACCGACATAGAGCCTAGATTTATCAAGCTTCAATAAACTTCAAACTATTGGTTTAAGGTTTATTTATTTACTTCTCTGTATCTCTGTCTCTGTCTCTGTCTCTGTCTCTGTCTCTCTCTCTCTCTCTCTCTCTGTGTGTGTGTGTGTGTGTGTGTGTGTGTGTGTGTGTGTGCAGGCATATTCATCCCATGGCATGCATTTGGAAGTCAGACAATGACTCCCAGGAGCCTGTTCTTTCCTGTCAATTTGTAGGATCCAGGGACTGCACGTAGGTTGTCAGGTCTGGGCACACAACCTCTACCCACTGAGCCATCTTTCTGGCTCCAAATCATTTTTTTTTTAACATTTTCAGCATCGAGGCTAGGTCTTGCAATGGTTTATCTTTTCTCAGATGTGTCTTCCGACTTGTGAAGCATGGTGGTGTTTTAAGAGTTCTTTGGTGAAAAAACAGGACTAGTGGGATGTGTTTCAACAGAGTGACCTATGTAGTCACAGAGGCTGGAGAGCTCAGAATCAGCAGCTCCAGCCTGAGGGCACCTGCTGCCAGAGTCTCCTCGCATTCAGGGACAGTTTTTGTTTGCTTGCTTGCTTTGGTTTTTTCCAATTCAAGCCTTGTCTGTGACTGTGTTACTTTGAATATGCCCTCTCTCATCTGTTCATGTCTTTAGATGAGAAGACCCACCCACATCCAAGACCACAAACTGAGATGTTAATCTGTTCCAAAAATACCTTCACAGATTGAACATAAAGTATTCAGTAATTTTTAACTGGCAAGAATGTCAGGCAAAAGCTAGTATTGGAATGGTTGAGATGTCTCAGAGGCCACCAAGCTTGACAACCTACGTGGTAGAGGGAGAGAACAGAATTCTGAAAGTTGTCCTTGGGTCTTTAGAAGGTGCCACAGCACTTAGACACCCACACACATACCCAAAATAAATATATAAATGTTAAACAATACTAAGAAAAACCAGTATCTATATCTGTTGCTATCAGCGAAATGAGACATTTATTAAAATCTGAAGTTTCTAATTTCATGGGTGTATGAATTCACCATGTGGGTATCAGTTTCCCTTAAAACGCACATTGAACAACCCCTGTTGTCTATCATTTTACCAGCCTACTGCTGAGCTCAGGTTCCCTTCTTGTTGGCTGCGTAAGTTCCTTAAGGTCTGTTTTCTTTATTTTAGCATGGGTGTTTTGCTGCATGTATGTGTATGTAGCATGTGTGTGCCTGGTGCCTGTGGAGGTCAGAAGAGGGTGTGTGATCCTGGAACTGGAGTTACGGATGTTTGTGAGCTGCCGTGTGGGTCCTGGGAATCGAAACTGTGTTCTCTGGAAGAACATTCAGTGCTCTTAACCACTGAGCCATCTCTCTAGCCTACTCCCCATTAAACTCTGCTTTTGGTTTTCTCATCTAGATTATGTTTTCTTTAGTATGGTTAAGTTGGAAGTTGTATATAAAATACTTGTGATAATACATGATGCCTAGTAGACAGCCAATATAGGCGTGATTAAATACATACCTTCAAAAAAAGTTTGGGTGGAAAACTTCATGTCGGTTCATGTAATCATGAAGAGACAACTTGAGGAGTCTCTTCAATTAAAACATTTTTTTTTTTTTTTGGACAGGCTCATTATGTTGCCCTGACTGGCCGGGAGCTCATAAAGATCCCGCTGCCTCTGCTTCCATGTGCAAATGCTCATATTAAAGGCATGTTTTGCAATTATATATGTGTATGTATATTGAAGAATTAGTAGCTGGGGAGATGGTTCATTTGGTAAAGAGCTTACCAGAAAACCACAAGGGTCTGAGTTTGGCTGTCCAGCACATGTGTAAAAGCTGGGTGCCATGGCAATGCCTGTAACTTCATGGCTTGGTAGGGAGGGGGAAAAAAGATGAGCAGACTCCAGAAGTTCAGGGTCATCTAGTCTAACCAATCAGCGAGCCACGGGTTTAAAGAGAGACCTTGTCTCAAAAAACAAGGTGGAGCTCTACTCAGGAAGACACCAGACAGACAGCAAACTTGGACCTCCACATGCACGCACACACACAGGAACATACGCACATCTCTCTCTCACACTACACAAATAGAAATCAGAGTTGAGAAATGATGGCGGTCTCATTCATCTCTTCCAGGCTCTCTTCTGACACACATCTGCAGGGGAGAGTTTCTGGAAGTGATGCAGAGTAAGGGGTGTGGCTGAGGGAGAGAACAGCTCAGATGTCGGCCGCACAAATCTCCCATGCGGAAACTGTTTCTGATTCAGAATTATTGTATAGATGTATTGGCAAAGAGCGCAACTCTCTTTCAACCAGCGTGATGACTCATTTTTAACCTTACTGAGGAAAAAAAAATGAGACAGGAAGTGGGAGCCCTGGGGCTGGCAGGCAGCCTCTAAACACGCTGCCTCTCACCTACCAGCGATGTACCATGGGAATAAAAGCCTCTCCTCATTTGCAGAGCAAACTGAATGTATTGAACCAGAGGGTATATGCTGTTGAGCATAAGACAGGGGCAGGGGGAGAGGTGACAGACTTTCCTAGGCAGAGGCAGCCTCCCCAGTTCACGTTCTTAACCTTTGCCTCTTGGTTTCATTTTCTGTAGCATTCCTGATAGGCAGCAACAAGTCCAAACTCATTAGTCTTGGGTGGTCACAAACTTTATCTTTGTTAAATTAATGTCACCGGATACCACTTAAAAGGTAGTGGCTCTGAAACAGTCTTCTGTGCATGTTTGTGTACACACAAGTGTGTGGTGTGCTCCACCTCTGTATGCATAGGTGAAGCCCAGAGCACTATCATTATCCAGGTTATGCTTTGAGACAAGGTCTCTGAACCGGAAGCTCTCTATTTGGCTGCCTGACCCAGGGAGTCCCGCTGTGCCATCCCCACACCCCACCTCCCCAATGCTGCGGTTCCAGATCTGTATAGTCACATTCAGATTTTATGTGGTTACTGGGGGTGCAAGCTCAGGTCTCCATGTTTGCCCAGAGGGCACTTTAGCTGTGGAATCAGATCTCCAGCCCCTAGATCAGCTTTGAGACATTTTAGCGTCATTCTCCACACTCCCTACTGAGCTTTGTAGCAGCCTAGAAGATTCCCACCCTCCTTATGCGAGGCCTGGCCCCTTTGCTTCTTTGTTTTGTTCTGTGGTTGCCAAGGTCCTGGTACCGCAGGCTCTGGTGAGGTGGGTTTTGATTCTTTTTGTTTTTTTTTCAAATATTTATTTATTATGTATACAATATTTTGTCTGCGAGTATGCCTGCAGGTCAGAAGAGAGCACCAGACCTCATTACAGATGGTTGTGAGCCACCATGTGGTTGCCTGGAATTGAACTCAGGACCTTTGGAAGAGCAGGCAATGCCCTTAACCGCTGAGCCATCTCTCCAGCCTGGGTTTTGATTCTTTTGAGTACCTGGGGATCTTTGCCAAATGTTTCATCCAACAACAGGATATTTTCAGCAACATTCCCATTTCACACCCCATTCTTAAATATAAAAACACAAAGCAATGATCGCAGGAACTTATTGCAAGAGACTGTCAGTTGGGTGCAAATAGTTTACGCTATATAATAGTCTATCATCTTTGAGAAGGTAACTTTTTTTTTTTTTTTAAGAAGCGCCCTCATAAAAACATCAGCACTTCAAGTTTGCTCTTACGTTTGGGGTCTTTCTTTCTTTTTCCTTCCTCTGCTACCCATCACATCTCCAAAGACAATGTGATACAAGAAAAACAAACAAACAAACAAAACCAAACCAGGATGGGTCACTCAGTCAAGAAAGCAAGGAAATCAGCAAGACCCAGTCTTTATCATTCCCATGGTCTGTTATTTATACTGTAACTGTGACGGGTTTGGGGCGGCAAAGCAGAGCGGAACCCTATCACCTTCCTGCCTCTCTGGCTCCAGCTTCCGGGACTTCCTGGATCAAGGGTTCCATCCTTTTCAAATGCAGACGTGCCTGGAGAACACCAAATGTTTTATCAGCCTGGGCAGATGGCCCAGTAGGTAGAGGCGCTTGCCACCAAGCTGACGGCCTGAGTTTGATCCCAGCAAGCCATGTGAGAGAAGAGAAAGTGTGTGACCTTCACATGTGTGTTGTGACATGTGTGCACATGCCTGAACTTGCACATATACACATATTATCTAAATGAATCAATGAATAATGAGGAAATGAATGCAATGTTCAATATTCTATCGTCTAAGGTGAAGATTTTCTTCATGGGACATAATTTTATCCTCATGTTGAACAATTGGTTATAAAGTAGCACTTTTAAAAAGAACTATTTAAAATATTGATATATGAAATGTCACTATATTATAGTAGTTTCTTTTATTTTCTACTTTATAATAGTAAAAACACAAATTTATCATTTTCACCACTGTAAGTGTCCATTTCACATTGTTATGGAAGAACAAATGCACAGAGCATGTTCATCTTGCAAAACAAGAACTCTAGATGTATCCAGCAACACCACCAAAATCCTCATTCCGTCTTCTTTCAGCCCAAGACTGTTTCTGTGAATTTGACTTTTTAAGAAGGACCATATGGTACTTCTCTCTCTTTCTATGTGTATAACTGTCTTATTTCTCTTAGCATAATGTTCCCCAAGCTTTAGCCATACTGAGTCTATGACAGAATTGCCTTCATTTTTAAGGCTGAATAACATTCCACAGTCGATATGTGACTCATTTTCTTTTCATCCATTCTTCCATGTTAAGACATTAGGATTGCTTCAGTCTCTTATTATTGTGATATCTTTGTGGTTTTAATATTAAAATTCAACTCCTTTTTGATTCCTGTAATGGATCTACTATAATACTGCCAGTAAGACAATGTTGCAATAGCAGGGAGTGTATAGTATTAAGAGAACCAAGGTAGGAAGCAATCTTAGTTTGGGTTTCTATTGCTATGAGGAAACATCATGACCAAAGCAACTTAGGGAGGAAAGGGTTTATTTGGGTTACGCGTCCATATCACTGTTCATCTTCGAAGGAAGTCAGGACAGGAGCTCAGACAGGCAGGAACCTGGAGGTAGGAGATTGTGCA